ACAAGTGCTGTTCCCATCTTTCGGCATGAGGCTAGTCGCTGACCGACATGAGCTGGTGATATCTGTCTGAGCGTGGCTGCGGTGTGGGGAGATAGAGGCAGGTGAACGTCCAGGCGTTCAGGTCATCTTTCAGCAAATCAGTCTCGTGTAAGAGTGGTTGCGTGCTCATGAAGCAGTACGCGAGGGAATGGTCGATGCTTAAGGAAACATGGGCAAAGACTTGGGCTTTGAAATGGGTGCGATGGAGGCTGTGTGATTCTGGAGAAAGACCAAGAAAGCTGTCAGCGATGGAAGTTTATGGGCATAGAGAGGCTTAGAGGTCAGAGGGCAGGAATGGAGTGGGGAAACAAAGTATAAAGAAGGACCCAGGGTATCTCTAAGAGACACTGTCTCGGCAACAGCATCTGGCATCTTAGTCTTCTTCCAAGCCAAATACCTCGTTAACACCTTACTCTTCTGACCCACGGCAATGCCACCACGACATTGCGCTTTGCCATGCGGGAAAAGTCCCGCCAAATTTCGGCCGAACCCGCGCCCGCGTCGGCCGCCGCCAAGCCTAAGCTGAAGCTGAGGCCCCGCCACACCTCCGAGTCCTTCTGGTGTTGAGAATACGAGGTGGAGATTGTTCTAGCTGGTGAAGACGTGTTGATCGTGCTCGGCTTGATGGGGAGATCATGAGGGTTGAGTGATGGTTTGTAGGGGGATTTGGTTCGTGTCGGTCTTGTTTGGAAGCTAGTTGGGAGGCTGAATATTTAGAACGGGTGTGTTGTTTCAATGTGGGCAAGGTCTGTTGAAACTTGTTGACATGGAAAGTGGCTATTTGTCAGTGGGTGTCCACTGTATGTGAGTAGATGAAGACGTCTCAGGCCGAAGTTGTGGAGGCCGGAGAGGGTGCCGGCGACGCGACTCTGTTCGGTCTGGGCGGTGGTATGGTATTCGGTGTTCCATAAGGCTTAGCCAGTGAGCTGTTTCGATGAATCTCGACAGAGAACGAGGGCCGTGTCAGGAGGATGCCACACAACTGATGGTTGACGATGCTTAAAAAGCCTGGCTTCGGACGCGATCAAGAGGGGACGGACTGGGACGGATGAATTGCCATGCCCGTGTAGTTGGTTTGGAGATGTCTGACGTGAAATGGAATAGTTGACACTTTTTGGAAAACGAGGATACGGTGAACACTGAATGATAAGGTCCCCATGATATTGCCTTACAATAAAACCCAGACTGATGGGGTGCTTTGATGCTGGGGGGAAGGCGGGAGCCGCCTGTTCCTGCTCGGTGACCCTTGGCTGTCGCCCTTGCCTTGTACCTTTCCGCCCTGTTTTCCACCCACACACAACACGGCTCCTCTCCGTTTCTAACGCCACATGGAAATTTCCTCACCGGGATCTCCGAGGCCCCGATCTCTTCATCTTTGAGTTGACGAGCTTCCATTCCTACATCGGTGTGCAACCACACACCCCTTTCTTTATGCACAGAGCAACTGAAACATAAAGCCAGCTACTGTTCAGCAAAGATCATGCTTCCATTCAAGTCATGCTCCGAATAATGGGTGGAAAATAATGATAGGTAATCGATTAAGGGTTGGAGTTTCAGGGGGAGACCAAGATGGTGGCCAGCCAAGACACAAGGGGTACACCATGGGCAGGCCGGGCATCACATCCATCACAACGTGAATCAGGTACGTAAAGCCTGGAAAATACTAGTGAGTTACATTATGGTTCTTACTTCCTCTACCTCAGATTAAGTCCTTTGATGTCTCAGGGCCCCTGCCCCAAATCTAGCTTAGCCTCATGGATGCAGCAATATGCGGTTTGTCGCTCACCACCCCGTGCGACGCTGTCCGTTTTCTCCCAGGCTTCCATACAGCTGAAAGTCAGTTCCCCAGCTTCTTTTCTTCCCCCGACTCGACGTGCTCCCCGTGTATGGGCCCCGATTGGTGTCCAGGTTTTGTGTCTGGGGCCTCCACAACCAAGCTGCTGGAGATGGTGCCACTCAAGTTGCTGCCGGGAAGAATGGCTATTCTCCCCGGTTCTTCAGACCGGGAAAGTCTTGATGAGCCAAATATTTCCCACAGGCCTCTGTCCACAGATGAGGCTTCTCCTCCGGGCATTGCCTGAAGTTCGGCTAGGAGTCCTAGAATAGGCACACTGGAAGTCAGCCAGAGGCAACGGAAGTTAAGGCGGCATGCTGAACAGTGCAAGGAAAACACACCGTGTCCTATGGGATACGCCGCCTCAAATTCGCTTCCCACACCGTTCAAGTTCACATTTTGGTCACCTCCGTTATCTTGGTCGTTGTTTGTGGCTGTGTTGTTCCGTTAGCACTGAGACACGATAAACCCTAATCTTATCAGAAGTTCTCACCCATTGCGACGTGATAAGAGTGCTGCATGAGTGCGGTGATAATGAAGAGCGATCAGTACTCGAGAAGAAAGCCCTCTCCACGTCTCTTTTATAAGATGCGTCCACCTAGATGACTAGCTGTCTTTCTACCCCATGCTTCCTCCGCACATGAAGCGCGACTGTTTGTTGACTGCTTCATTTGATATCTCATATTGACTTCTGCAACTATCCACCTCTGCAGTATTCCGGACCGGCATGATCACTGAAGATGTCCGAGCAAAACCAGGGAAGCTGGGTGGTATGGAAGAAGAAAGTACCTATCAAGTCTGCGTCTGTTTGCTGGGGTGCAGGATTCTCCCAAGAGGAAAGGGCCACTTGACCGCCAGATTGACCAAGAAACCTCTGCAGTCCTCATCGGTAGATTACGGTCTTGGTGACGCCCTTTTGGCTGTTTCCCCTGGCTCAGTGCCACGTTGGTCCGTCTGCCTTGTGATAATGTACCCAGGAAGTACCCTCGATCTGCCTACTTGGTGGACACATGGGTAACAAAAGTACCTGCGATCTGCGAAAAGGAACATCTGATCAATAAGTCCCAACAAAATGGCATTGTACACGGAACGTGTCAACGGCCGGGCGTGGCAGCTGGCAACTACTGCCCTTGTCCCTCGGCCGCACCCTGCCACACGCTTCTCGCGGGACACGGCTTTGCGGAGATCACTTCTTGTCAGTTGATGCAGTTCAAAGGGGCCTTGGTATGTTTCCGGAGCTGTCGCCGGCGGACAAGGAAGACTTTCAGCGCATGTTATAATTAGATGCGAGGATTCTTCCCAGGTACCACATCCTTGTCGGAAGGACTACGATCTACACTGTCTATACACAGGAATGAAGCCTATTCTTTCTACAAACGGTCGTGCATGACTCATCACTACAATGGAGCTGAGGCTCAAACAACAATAATTCGTGTGTATGTCCGCCTTTCTCCTTGGTGAGTGAATGCTGCAGGTGTGAGGCACGGAAAGCTCTTGGCCTTACCTCCAACTTGCTGTAGAATAACGAGGCCGCAGCAACTCCAGCCACGCTCGCTAGCCACACGGACCTATGAACGGGCAGAGGCAACCGCCCCAGCTCCGCTCAAAATGCAGCCCTCAACTCCAAGGAGCGGGTAATAAGGCGGATGTATGTTTGAGGTCATGTTAGATACCTTACCAACGCAAGAGAGTTGCGGCCGATAATTCAGGTAGGTGGTGAGGCAGCCAACCTGAGTGCTGTGTCCATGGTGGTGTGGACAAACAAAAAATTAGAAAAAAGAACTCTGAAACAAATAGGGGGCGTTGTTGGATAGTTTCCTTCCAAGAAATTAGACAGCCCAAGATAGAATTTCCATTTACTGTGACGGGCATGATGGGAACACTCCCAGGAGTGGCAGCGCGGGCCGAAACCTCCCACGGGCATCTCAAAGCCTTCTTGACACCTCCTTCGTGGAGTGGGCCAATAAGAGGTCTAGAGCAAATGAAAATTCTCGTCGCGGATGTCGAATTTTCTCCCCGTTGTTCCTTGCACGCCCGTCGTCAGGATAACCGCCTCCAGTCAGACTGTACCTTCCAGGTTGCTTTGTCTGGTTTTAAGTTGACGGCCGACGCTGCCTGGAAAGATTCCAGCAGACCGCCATGGGCTCTCACCGTGGATCGGCCCCCGAAGAAGCCTTGTCGAGACAGTCCCGTCATTAGGGTTGTCGTTCAAGCGGCGAGGTGTGGACGGAATCTAGGCACCCATCGCCTTCACACGACGCTTGAATCATCAATCATCTTGGAGTCTCTCCTCCCACTCTGAGGCTCCATTCTGTTACTCACTCAGTTTTCTAGGTACGGTACTTTTACCCTTTCTCTTTACTTTCACCACTGCTGATATGGAGGTCAGGCACTTTCGCTCGTCACTGAAGCCTACGATCAACTGAACCTGCTGTGCCTGAGACACACCGGGAAACCCGAGATTCCACTGTGGGAGAGCTGCCTGACCCAAATGGAAAAGGCTGCCCAACGATCAAAGCGCCCTCACCTACCGGCAGCTCTTGTCATCGATATTTCGTCTTTTCTCTTGCTACTCTTCAGCTGACTGAGCGCGACTCTTTCATAGAACTCGTGGTTGTCTTGAGTCGCTATTACTAACACGACTAAACTAGATGTCTGCGCGAGAAGTCCTTTGCGGCCTGAACTACCTTCGAGACTTCGAGCGAACTCGAGATGACGCGATCCCAGAATCACTCCACGATGAGATCGAATTTCAACCTTGCGTTTATCCCCACGGGACACAGGTGTCAAGTCAGCAGCATGCTTGTCTTCAGTCTTCATTTCGAGGAAAGACTGATGCCATCATGCTGAAGAGATGCCTGTTGCCGCGCAGCCTTCTCCAAGCTCTGAGCCAGCAACTCGACGAACCCGAACAAGACAACAACCTCCACAATCCCACAAGTGTGGTATTGTATTGCCAGTAAAAATGACCATTCCGTCGTTGCTTCAACTATCAACGGCTTTGCCTAAGCCTCGGGGTTTCTCTTCCATCTGAATCTCTCCCTTTCCCTGTGGTCAGGGGGCTGTCCGGCAAGAGGGACGGCGTCTCCTCCTTGAAGCCTATTTCCAGCCGCAACAGACATGCTCAGGCAAGGTGGCCGAGCGGTCTAAGGCGCCAGGTTCAGGTCCACTTGAACTTACTCTCCAGAGTATTTCCTGGTCTCGCAAGAGGCGTGGGTTCGAATCCCACCCTTGTCATAAATCTTTTGTTTCTTTTGCATTTTCATCCCTTTTTGGCCCGTATCTACAGGCAGCGAGATTACCGCCCTCTTTGAGTGTAAACGGAGTTGCCGTGGTAAGAAGTGAAGCTGAGAGCGGCGATGATGGTTTGTCAGGTCCATGACTGAGAGTTCATTGAGTCCAGGTTATGATTGGAATCTGAAGTTCTATATTGTTGGTACAAAATTAAAGACATGAATCGCTTCAGAACAGCACATGAAAGCAAGTCCAAACACCAGGCCCCTACTCGTTGCAGTCCAGCTTCAACTAATCTCACCTATTCACTTCTTTGGCCAGCATCAAATCACTACCACCCAAAAACCGCAAAGTCCCAGCCACATCGCTAGCCATTGGCTGCCAAGACTTTGCGGCCCCGAAGAAGCAAGGTTGGCCGACGGAATGGGGGCAAACTGCGTCCTCCTGGGACTCGGAGTCGGCGGGAGCCTCACCTGCGATCCCTGTGCCGAGCTCCACAGAGTGGCTTGAGCCGCCCCAGCGTTCCCTAAAGTACCAGTCGCATCTGATTCCGTTGTTGTAAGCAATAAAGTCGAAAGCTCCCTTTCCGTGGCCGACTCACTCAAGAAAGGGGGTCGGTTCTGGGAAGGACTTGCCGTCTGCGTGCTGGCCAGTGCTGGTACAGCCTGAGGAGAAAGATGGCAGTAACTGTCAAAGACGGCGAGCGCAAAAGCAGTAGCTGCAGGCTCAGAAGGCATGCACTTTGACGCGACGGCTCGACTGATGACACTCTCGAATTTTGTCGAGCTGGAGACGCAGAAACAGTCGAACGAGGTTGTCCTGCCGCCGTCGCCGCAGCCGGAGACCATGTTGCGGACGACGTTGCTCAAGGGGGCTTCGGCGCAGGGTGGGAGGTGGGAGTAGGCTGGGACTTGGTTGATGAAGATTCTTTGGGCTCGGACGGCTGATGTCGCGATGGCGAGGAGGGGGATGAGGAAGGGACGCATGGCGGTGCATGAGTGGTTGTGTCGAGAATGGTGTTTTGGAAGAGAAGAAAGATGAAATCATCAAGCTAGGGGGGAAGGTTAGACTTTATCGGTTGTTGTTGAAGCCTTGTTGCTATAGGTGAAATGCTGATAGGTATGTGCCAGACCGGAGATACCGCCGTGGCTTGAAAACGAAACGTTAAAACATCCGTGCACCATTTGTCTCTCGTTGCATAAATTGAAGCCATTTTTAGTGCGATTTTGGCGCCGTTTGAGCGGTCTTCGGTGTCGCACAATGTGTAACGATGCTCAAGCTAATCGTGTAACTTTATTTTGACGTTTCGTTTTCAAGACACAGCGCAGCGTAGGCAAGCCACCAGCGCTTGAAGATTAGAATAGCTGGTAATCAATGTCGACGGCCTGAGCTGTTGGTCCCGCTTCCCACCAGTCGTTCTGATGGACTGCTGTTCCAAGGGCAGGCCACTCAGGGGCTTGCGGCGTAGGTAACGGCTTGACGAAGATTACTCTCTGTAATGTTCAGTCAGCATGGACATTGATTAGATTGCCTAAGATGAGATCAACCTACCTGGAATGCCACTCAAGTCGTCAAGTACTATGCTGGCTGTTGTTGAAAAGTCGTCATTTCTCCGGAGAATCTACCTAGATAGGTAAGAGGAGGTGCTGCAAGCCCTGTAATCTAGCCGTAGCGACTCGCTAGCCCCCATCATTATAGCGCACTTCTCCAGAAGCTGCACGGACCCCACAGGGGCCCTGTCTTGGGCAAGCATCCCAGCTCACAGACTTGAATAATTGTCACAATTGTTTGCATTGAAAGAAATATTAAATAAGTCGACAAATCCTCCACGAAGGAAAATGACCTATTTACACTCGCTTACTCCTTCTGTTCTCAGAATGCATTGTTAAGAAAAGAGCCAGACTCTTGACATGGGTCGCACGGTGCGCTCCCAGTGCGCGCCTCTTGAACGCACTGAGTGTTGAGCTTCAGGGACCACCGCTATAATTACAGCGATAAGACGATGGATGTTACGAATGCAGGGCTCAAGCAGGTCAAAGGTCAATACCATTGCCAGTCTATCAATGTAATCGTAAGATGAAGAAGAAAGGAAGAAGTGTGGGTCCATCTTCTTGCCATAAATGCCAGGTCGTGTCACGGTCGGTTTGTTCCGAGACAAAGCTACTGTATTACCACACTTGGATGACGGAATCTACCTAATAAGCTAAAGAGGAAAGGAAGGAAAAGAGCTTTGTCTGATCAGGCCTACAGAGGTTTGTAGGTGCAGGGCCGTGCATCAGTGGAAAGCAAAGTGACATAAGGTGGCAATCACGAATTCCGATTGTGAAAACAACTTAGACCAGAAGCTGGAAGAACAGCCCCTTGTGGCGTGAGGCAACTCGAAAGTCGCATTACCTGCGCACACCTGGGAAGCTTCTTGAAGACTTTGTTCATAGAGAAAAGAAAAAGAACCGTATACTTTTTTGCTATCAACTCAATAGAAAACTGAAAACCAAGAGTGACACGGTGCAACAGTTATGTTTTTTCCGGTCGAGAGAAATGTTTCGCCGTTTTCGGACTCGCTTATAGGGTATCGCAATAATAAGTGGCACCCCACCCTCTTGACAATCAATGAGATAGATTTATGAGCATCACTACGTCAGCAGAGCTGATTCTCCCCCTTCGATCTTCAGTCACATCCACAGTAAGGTAACAATATGAACCTGATGACGTTATATAAGTAGTTACAGTTCTAGACCTCCGAGATGACGTCAGTCACATACCGAACTTTTCTCGCGAAGATTAAATAGAACTTCAAGAAGCTGGTTTTGAGCTTTAGCTTGCTACGTCTCCAGAGAGTCCAAAACCAACAGACACATAAAGTAACTCACTAAGACACCGCCTGTTATTTCCACACTTCTCTCGCACATAAGCACAGCCAAGCCGTTACAATGGCTCCCTCCCACAGTGAAGTATCAAATCGCCCCAAGAACGAAAATGATAAGCTCGAGACTGGCCCGACCATAGCCCACGGGATTGGCGACCAAAAGGTTTATTTCCCCTCCCCCTCCCCCTTTCTTTTTATTTCTCCAAGAGTGCTGATAGTCCCCGCCAAAGCTCCCATCAAAAGTCGCCCGCGCAGATAAGACGGCACCTTTGCCGGAGCAGGAGCATGGGGCCGGTATCCCGGGTATGAATGCTAGTGGAGGCACTAGCCAAGGGCTGTCTCAGGGACCATACGCTGGGCAAGGAAAGGGACCGCTTAAGCCATAAATTGGAGGAAGGGAGAGAAGGCTTTCCAAGCACACTGCTTGGTGGGAAGGGTGAGGCTCTAAAGACCCTGTGTTTACGTTCTTATTCACTATGCAAGGGACCCAGGGGTCATATACGAGGACACAGTAGCCTGTATTTTATCTCAGACTGATCACTGACTTTCTGTTTTTCAAATATACCACCGCTGCATGCGTGTAGTGTGATTCCAGCCCCCTGGTCAGGCCTAGACCATATCTACAGTAGGAGTTGCGATACCCTCTATTGTTCTACAGCTGGAGCACAATTTTCTAAGACATTCCATTGGGTCTAGCCAGTAGACCGCGCCAGCTGGCACAGTCCTCTTTCTCCACCCTAGCAAAGAGCGAGCACTTTACCACTCCCAGTCGTCCTCCATTGCCACCATAGAAATCTTCCCTATAATTACACCCACCAGGGGCTCTTCGTCCTACTCCTCCTCCTCCTCCTCGTCGCTCTCGTACTAAGGTGCAACCTCCTCGCCATCTTCCTCCTCTTCCTCATCATCCCACCTAGCCCCCCACCCTAGCCAAGCCACCGTGAACACCGGATCCGGTTCTCCCGTTTTTCACACCGTATGATACACCAATTTCTCACGGCATATCCAATGACCAGCATCGGTTTGTATCACCCCTTATACCACGCCAACCCAGAAGAAATCCAACCCAGCAACTGGAACAGCGCGAACCATGAACCTGCATCGGCCGCGACATCTTGCCACTTCATCGCAACATCCTGCTGCGAGACCTGCCTCTCGAAGCTAGGAAACTGTACAAACAAGCTCAAGAAGCACGGCCCTGATGCCCCCTTGGGATCAGAGGTATCGCACTGCAGATCCATTGACGGAACTGTCGAGATGGACAGCTGATAGTCGTATGCCGGCGCCTTTCCTAGTGCCTCTCGATAGTTCAGCCCCAGGTTCAGAGCCGCCATGCCATTCGCGTTGATAAGGACCATTCGAGTGTAGCCGCTCTCTAGTGCTTGTTGGACTGTCAGTGTTGGGTCGTAGACGGCGATCCAAACGCTGGGGGAAAGAACACGAGAGGAGTCAGCACGGGCTTTGGCGGTGTCGTCTGTCCTTGTGTCAATCGGGGTTCCTGTGTTCGTGGAGAGAGGAATAGTTACTGACAGGTGAAGAATGCCTGGGCGATCATCTGGTATGTTGGCATCGGCGATACCATTGAGATGGACGACGTCAGAGTGAAAGCGCGGTAACTTGTGTTCTGCCACTCGAAATCCTCTATCCTGTCACTCCATCTGTTTCCGCACTGGCAAGCCCCTGTGTACTCGGCAGAAGTGATCTCGCAGTCTGGAGCCGTTTCGTTGTGCCAGCCAAGGAAGCACTTTGGGGGAGGATCGACCTCGAGTTTGGCCTGCGACGTCCAGTCGACTCGTTGGAAGAGGGTGATGGAGGGGAAATGAACGCTTGCCTGTGAGTGCGAATGGTTGTTAGAGAATGGCTACAGATAACAGGGACGATGAGAAATGCCTACCACAATATCTCGGTCGAAAGTAATCACATTTCGTGTTCTCTCGGGGTCCCAGACGGTCCAGTAAAGAAAGGGCAAGGTGATCGTCGCCGCCAGGAGCGTTATGACAGTATTCCCCAGGTTCTGGCTATACTTGCTTTTCAGTCCCAGCAACAAGGGTTTATCGCCGCCACTCAGTGATGCGAACAGTAGCAGCAAGCATACTCCGAGAACGCCGATAACCGACAGAACCCAGACTCCTGAGAG